TGATAGATGTTCTATCTGGCAGTTGGATGTCATGGGAGACGCCACAACCTTCCCTGAGACGAAAGACACGGCTGCTTCCTCCTGCCCAGCAATGTCAATTTGTGCCTAGTTGAGCTATGTACGACAGCGACAGCATCTATTGAAGCAATACTGCATCCGTTGAATTCCCCCCGCTGTCCTATTTGCACCCCATCTAGTAAGTATCTCTGGTATCTCAGCTGCTAAGTTCATTTGCAGGCCCGATGTCCAACATGTTCTACAAGTATGAAGCAGTAACCACGCCGCTGTTAGCGACTTGGTGGAAAGCATGGCGGCCGAGCACGGACATGAATGCTAGCCGGGGGAGCGAGGACAGGTTGCGGCGAAGCACCGTGGATTTATTCTCATAGAGATCGTGGATCTCGCATGGCTTCGCACGGCGGTCCATTTTTAAATACGCAATCCTTAGCGCACTTATTTGGAAAGACGATACGAAGCGGTATTAAGGCTTCAACGGTTTTGGTTTATAAACAGTTGAAACCGTTTTTATTTAGGTTTGGTTTGGCGGTCAGGGCACACTGTCAACAAATGGTTTTATAAATGTTTTAGATGGTTTTCCTCACACACCCCACCTGCAGCTGGTTTGCTGCCTATGAGTTGGCGATTATCATCTTTCAGGAAGCCAGAGGAAGAGAATTTTAGCTAGCTGGACAATTTTACTGGATTCATCAACTTTTTCTCTCCCGGCGCTCCGCCCTCAAAGTTCTTTCAAGTCGTTTCGTCGTCCGCTCACTAACGATTTCGCTAGCGCCACCCTCAAAATTATTTCAAGTTCTTTCGCCCTCCCTCATAGCGCCGAGACCGAGACGACCTATCGCCGGCCCACATCGAGTTTGCCCCTTGGAGGTGGGTGCATGTATCATCTTTCATTCTATACTCGGACCTGGCGAGTACTAACTTGTGCGCCAAAACTTGATTTATTTTTGTTCCACTGCGCGGTGCCATTTAGGAGGAGGAGGAATAAAGAGCTCGACCCCAACTAACGCGATGAACAGGACATGTGCTGCATTTTGTCCTTCCCGGGCCGCGGCGCCATCCCCGGGTTCAAGTTCGATTCCAGTGGGCTTCCCTTGGCATTCATTCACAGCAAACTTTTTTTCTTCCGCTGCGCGGCCTTGAATATCGGTAAGTTGTATTTCAATGTGGTGAAACTGAGTTTCTCCAATTTTTGACCCTTTGCCGCGCGGCCGAATTCAAGCCCAGTTCAAGTGCAGCAGACCTCCAAAGATTTTCGGCGCCTTCAAGGTTCTCAACGATATGGCTTTCATCAGCAAAACAAAACACATCTGGCTGATCTGGCATCAGACCAACCAAGCGCGCCATACCACCATAATTGAATCTGGCCGCATAACGACTGGCCTATCGCCAGAACATTTTCTGGCAGCCAGACATGTCAGAACGTACTTCTGACGCCAGAACTCAGCTCAGAATCCCGCCATATTTAATTCAGAACTCTGTCAGAATGTTCTCACATACTCAGAATCAAATAAAGGATCAGGGACAATAAAGCAGAGTCATATTCGGGAGCGACAGTATGTATCAGTGTATTCAAACAAAAGATGCCACAGCATTTCAAAGGGTTTCAAGTCTGGGGTGGATGATTATAATTGTCGATTAAGAGAGAATAGAGAGAAGCATATAGCGTCATCAGAATCATCGAGACCACGGGAATCCTCCGATTCGTGGCTTGTGAACCACAGATACGATGCTCTGTAGCTTCGGCGGTCCACCGCGGGGAAAGACGAAACTAAAGAGAAAAAGATCAATTGTGATCATACATAGTTGGTGGCGCACCTGACTGTTGACACGTCAACTGTTGATCTCCGACTGTTGACCCCAGAATAGGGTGTCTTAATAGAAGACTTGGACTTGACGAAGGCATAGAATTTGATGACACGCCGTGAGAGCCGCTTAGAAAGAGGGACTGAGTTTGAGAACGAGCCTTGAAGCTTGTCGGGAAAGTCCAGGTTGTGTGGCTTCGGACTTGGAAAGGGACAGAAAGAGTGCCTCAAGTCTTGAGGGACTTGAAGAGTGTGGGCACTTGCATCGTTCTGGGAACTGTCGCCATAGAGTGTAGAGTATTCTTGATTGAGACTTGATACAGGAGATCCAATTATGATTGTCAAAGCTGGTGAACGAGAAGCAGATGTATGTGGGGGGAGGAGTGGGGAGGAAGGCGACATGAAGGAAGAGAGCAACGAACAATGATCGCATTTGGACCTGAATTGGCGTTGCGGTGAACTCTAAAACTCGGTCAGTGCGCGAGAAGTGGGTGTGTGAAGTGACCGCGTTGCGGGCCCAGTCTCAAGTACCGGTATTGTAATATGAGTGAGGGACGCTGCTAAATGACGAAACTAACAACTAAGTCGAGCTGGGAAATTTTGTGAAGGACACGCTGCGCGAAGAACTCGGAACTCGGTAAATCTGGAATGAAGATTAGTGGGGAATTTAGCGCAGAGTTGAATTTGGCGGCATTGGGTTGGAGCGTGAGCTGGGATCTGGGGAAAGGTCAGTGGATCAAGAGGATGCACCGTGTTCCGGGGGAACGATGTCAGTACTTGCTGTCGCATTTGGATCCGAAGACTGAGGTAAACGAAATTCGATGTAGTACTAGTGATGCACCTGGGTATAACTCGAGGCCCGCCGACTGGACTTGAAATACAAAATGGGTCGAACCGAATTCGAAGATCTGGAAGCAAGTCAAATACACAGCTCGGAGGCCGATGACGAAGGAGTACTCATCAGATTGCACTTGAGCTGGGCGAAAGACCTGCGGTGAAGATAAAGTCAGCTGAGTTCAAGACGAGCCAAAAGAATTGAATTGAATTCAGGGAGAGCTTCAATTCCGCGCGCGTCCTTCGATGCGCAGAGAGGGAGGAGGGGATCGAATCGAATCAAAGTGGTCTACGAAGAAGAAGGCAAGGTGGATAAAAAATGGAATACATACATTGGAATGAAGAGCAAAACTTACCTGCGCGGTTTGAAAGCCGCGCTGCTGAGTTTCACGGAGGGGAAGTTTTCTTCGGGTTGAATTGGACGCTGAGAGCCGAGGTGAAAAAGATGCGGAGAGGGATGGATACTGAGAATGTTACGTTCGAGTAAGAGGGAACAAATTTGAACGAATTGACGCGAACTGAGACTCAGCCGAAGTACTGGTCCCGAGTGCATTCGAATTTGGCTTGATAGGCTTGGAATTCGAGGTCAGAACGGGAGGGAAGAATGCAGGAAGAAACGACTCACTGGAATTTCAGTACAAGGATGACTTGGTTGGCATTGAGGTCAAGGGACAAAGAGCGAGTTTGAATGGTTAGTTAAACGCTCAATCGCATCGGTGCAAAGCCCAAACGGACGGAGGGTCTGTGCCCCAATCCTCAGGCCGTCCGTGCTTGCTCCTCGCTCCCCGCTCGCAGCACGGTCGACGAACGACACCCACCGCCCTCTCGCCCTCCTGTGATCGACAGCCCACATCGCCTGTCCTCGAAAGCCCAAGCCTCAAGCAGAAACACAAGACGCAGACGCACCATTTAACGAAAATCTCGCTCCTCTCCGCCGCAAAGCTGTCGAACCGGTGCCCCGCGTTGATCTCTGCGCGCATCGCGTCCTGCCGCTTTTCCTCGGGGTCGTCGTGGCGGCCTGCGTCGGACGGTGTTCGAATTAGCAACGAGAGCAGGGAGGACGACGCACGATTGGGGTTGACGAGACCTGTGCAACAAACAGGGCAAGGAACGTCAGTATATACGCGCTTGAAAGCTTGTTGGAAGGGAGGAATGCCCGCGCGCCGCCACGCCGCTCTATTCACTCCTATCAAGCCAGATGCGAGTGGGAGTACGCGTTGGCAAAGCAGCGATACGGCGCGCAAGCGAAGGGGCCCAAGGGAAGGAAGGGGACACACCGATAATCTCATCCCTGGTATGCTGGTACCCCTCCGGCAGCCTGTCGACCAGGGTCTCGAGTTTCTTGAAGAACGACATCCTTTATGGCCCCTCTATTCCTCTATGCCTTTGAATTCAACTGTCTTCGGGCTGCTTGCTTGCTGTGGTGTTTCGAGGTGGAAAGCGGATCGATTGCGCGCGGGCGCGGCTGTCAATCCCTAAATCCGGATCGGCCCGGTGACGTAGGAGAGATCAAATCAGCGCCCGTCGCGCGCGCCGTTCAACTTCCTGCCAACGCCGCGCCGCGCCAAGACGCTTGGTTGTTCTGCATGCCCTTGGCCATTGGTGCGGTGAAACGAGGCGCGTGCGCCGACGCGAACTCTGAGGACGCGCTCACCCTGCACCACTGGCACCATCACGGACCCAACTTCCAAGACTTACTTACTCGGAGTCGGAGTCACTCCCGCTCATCCATCCATCATTTGTCCAAGTCATCCAACGTCCGACCAAGGCAACCATCGGGGAGCGCTCACACGCCCGACGGCGTTCTAACTTCTGCTGGGCAGTGTGGGGTCTTCAATACTTGTAATACTTAGTGCCGCGTACGAAGCGGTGTTCGGCGTTCACTTTCGGCAAGTATTCATTCGGCGGAGTAGGAACGGGGAACGGGGTACGGGGTATGCCAATAAGTACGTACGTACGCACTGGTAGAAAAAAGTTAAAACGCGGGAGAGTGCTGCTTCATCGCCGAGCCGAGTCGAGCGGGGACCTCCTGCCAACATAGGCATATATCCTGGGCAAGGAGTAAGGACAGCAGGTGCAACCAGGTGTCTTCCTACCTGCTTTGAAGCTGGATAGGTGTGAGCAAAAAAAAAACAGTGCAAGGTGTGGTTTCAACACACCATCCCGCCCGCTCGCCACCAACTTGCACTTTACTTTTTACGATCCTCAAAAAGGACACTCCGCACTCGGCGGTCAACATAGCTGAACCTCGTGGTACTTCCCTCCATGCAAGGTGAGTAGTTATTACGAGAAAGACGAGCAGAAAGTTTGAAGGATAAAAAAATGTTCTGGCAATTTCAGAGCGCATCACCCGACCCCGAGTTGAACGGGGACCTCCTGCCTACATATTTCTTCATCCAGTGAGGAAAGGCAGGTGCACACCATGTGCTACCAGGTGTTCTCCTGCCCAGTTTTAAACCTCCACAAGCATGAGCAGAAGGTGGTCAGTTAAGCCGAAACCATCACACAAGTTTCGAACAAAGACAAATGCACGGAACTGTATGTTTACAGAATAGAAAACCGAATGACAGTTTGCTGAGGAGAAGAAAGGGAACCAAAGGATCAATCAGAGTAGCTGGAGAGGAAAAAGTGAGATATCACTTTTTATGACCCGACCCCGAATCGAACGGGGACCTCCTGCCTACAAACAGATCCTTACAAGGAAGGCAGGTGCACACCAGGTGCTACCAGGTGTCCTCCTACCTGCTTTAAAGCTGGATAGGTGTGAACGAAAAAAAAACAGTGCAAGGTGTGGGTGAAAGACACCATCCCGCCCACCAGCTAACTTTCATCCCAACTTGCACTTTACTTTTATGATCCCATAGATAAAAAACACTCCGCGCTCAGTACTCAGCGGTCAACGTAGATGAACCTCGTCGTACTCCCTTCCATGCAAGGCGAGTAAATGAATTAGTTTAAGAAAGATGAGAAAGATGAGCAGAGAGTTTGAAGGATATAAAAAAAGTTCCAACAGCGAACATGACCCAACCCCGAATCGAACGGGGGCCTCCTGCCTACAATGCTTTGGGCCGCAAAGGAGGGCAGGTGCACACCATGTGCCATCGGGTGTTCTCAGCTTTGTTTCGTGGCTGGGTAGGTGTGAGCAAAAAAAAAAAAACAGTGCAAGGTGTGGTTGAAAAGAGAGCATTCGACCCCAAAATAATTTTCATCCCAACTTGCACTTTATGTTATCTTGACACTCCTAAATAAAAAGCACATCTAGCAGTCAAGCCCTCAGCGTAGGCTATTTGTCACCTGGCGGTACTCCCATGCAAGGCGAGTAAATCATAGTTTGAGAGAGATGAGAAAGACGAGCAGAAAGTTTGAAGGATAAAAAAAATGTTCTGGCAATTTCAGAGCGCATCACCCGACCCCGAGTCGAACGGGGACCTCCTGCCTACAATGCTTTGGGCCGCAAAGGAGGGCAGGTGCATACCATGTGCCATCGGGTGTTCTCCTACCCAGTTTTAAACCTCCATAAGCATGAGCAGAAGGTAGTCAGCCAAGTTGAGAACCCACCACACAAGTTTCGGGCAAAGACACACTGAACTTTGGTTTTTACATCGCAGACAAAGGCACCTCACTGAGGGGAAGAGAAAACAACAGCCCCCCAGAAAGGATCACTCACCGTAATTGGAGCGAAAAAAAAAAGATACCTTTGCGCTGCTTATCACCCGACCCCGAATCGAACGAGGGCCTCCTGCTTACATATGCTTGCATTAGGAGCAGGTAAGGAAAGGCAGGTGCACACCATGTGCCATCAGGTGTCCTCCTACCTGCTTGAAGTCTGATAGGTGTGAACAACGAATTTCATCCCAAGTTGCACTTTACTGATAAACCTCGCGGTACTCCCTTCCATGCAAGGTGTGTAATCATTTAGTTTAAGAAACATGAGAAAGATGAGCAGAGAGTTTGAAGGATATAAAAAAAGTTCCAACAGCGAACATGACCCGACCCCGAGTCGAACGGGGACCTCCTGCCTACATATGCATATCGTGGCCAAAGATTAAGGAAGGCAGGTGCACACCATGTGCTACCAGGCGTTCTCAGCTTTGTTTGGAGGCTGAGTAGGTGTGAGGCAAAAATTGGGGAGTGTGGTTGAAAAAACACCACCATCCCGCCTGCCACCCGCTTGCTAATTTCATCCCCACTTGCACTTTATTCTTATGATCCTAAATAGACAGCACACCTAGCGCTCAGCAGTCAACATAGATGGACCTTGTGGTACTTCTACCCATGCAAGGTGAGTAATTATTATGAGAAAGACGAGCAGAAAGTTTGAAGGATAAAAAAAGTTCTGGCACCTTCCGGATACATCACCCGACCCCGAGTCGAACGGGGAGCTCCTGCCTACACATGCATATCTTGGCCAAGGAGTAAGGAAGGCAGGCGCACACCATGTGCTATCAGGTGTCCTCCTACCCAGTTTGAAACCTCCACAAGCATGAGCAGAAGGTGGTCAGCCAAGTTGAAACACACCACACAAATTTCGAACAAAGACACATGCACCAAACTGCATTTTACAGAATAGAAAATGTCAGTTTGCTGAGGGGAAGAGAAAACAACAGCCCCCCAGAAAGGATCACTCACCGTAATTGGAGCGAAAAAAAAAAGATACCTTTGCGCTGCTTATCACCCGACCCTGAATCGAACGGGGACCTCCTGCCTACAAATGGAAGTATTTTTGCCGATAAGGAAGGCAGGTGCACACCATGTGCTATCAGGTGTTCTCTTACCTGCTGTAAAGCCTGATAGGCATGAATCAAAAAACAGTGCAAGGTGGGGTTGAAAAGACACCATCCTAATCCCAACTTGCACTTTACTTTTTACGATCCTAAATAAAAAACACTCCGCACCCAGCGGTTACAGCCAACGACAGTACCGAAGGCGCGGATCAGAATTTTCCAAATTTAGAGGTTTTTAATCTCCTCCAAAGAATTAGCCATACCTTGCTCATTTCTGCACCGTTTCCCTTCTAAGTAGGCTAGAAATTCCAGGCTAATTCACGTGCAATTACTCATAGAGCCAGATCAACAAAAATATTCTATTTTGGGTAACCTCGTAAATTGGGCTGGGTGCACGGTAAATTGGTGCTGGTAGTGTCATATCACATCCAATCGGGCTCTCCTTCCGCATCATTGGACGCGCATCTCATCCAAACCTGCATGCATGGCCAACGCTGCGACGCTTGCAGCTGCTAGGAAGCACACACGGGGAATTGCTGCCCGAACTAGAGCCCAAGCAGTCTCAAAGCTCCAGCTTGCCTCGCTCAGCGACGACACTCCGCCACTCGATTTCCCTGACTCAGACACCCCAATGGCTTCGGCTTCAGAAGACCAGCTCCTGGAGGAACCTGGCCAAGCTTTGTTGCGCCGTCCGGCCGTGAAACAAAAGGCTGCGATGTCGGATGTGTCTGATAATGATACTCCCGCCCCACAGCCAAGGAAGAAAGCCCAGACCGAAGCCCAAGCCAAAGCCAAAGCCAAAGCCCAAAAGCCAAAGCGGCCGCCAAAGAAAGTAAGTTCGGACTTACAATCCTTTATTCAACTGACTGTTTCTTTTTTTGAGAGCTGAAAAAGACTGCTGCATCGGACTCGGATGATACTATCGAAGTGGTTGCAACTGAACCAGACCCCATAGGTCCGGTTATATTCTGCCGTCTTCTTCCCCATCGTTACTCAATACGATGTTCGAGGATGTTCAGGAAGTCATTTACGAGACCATCGGGTGTGTGACTATACCGCGGAAGCCTACACTTAAATACAGCTCGGTTGCCCCCTCGAGTCCGGTCCTGAAGAGTTCCAGAGCAGCCTGTTCCTCGTCCATTTGAATAAATATTTCAGCAAGCCTCCGAAAGGCTTGGAGTGTGCCAACTCGATCTCCGCTCCTCTGGCTGAACGCAAGGTACGCCACCGCCCAACGAAATGTGGCAAACAAGGTGTGCATTCCGTGCCTTGGGTCACCGAGAGACGCTAAACAGTCGCGTCGAATATCGAAGTCGTGCGCTGTGGATGCAGTCTGCTCAAATAGAGAATGTGCTTGCTCTATTTTTTCTTGGAGAAGATACAACTCTGCAGTTACCCAGTCGCACCATTGGATCCTTGGATCTCCAACATAAACTGATTTTGCCGCATCTAAGCTTGAATGAATTTCGGGTGACTTCGGTGACTGTGATGATGATGATGGAACGCGACGCGACGCGTCCAATTATGGATTCGGGACATGTATTACATTGCTTTGGTATGTATTCAAGATGGATACATGCCTGAGGTTCTCTACTGGGTGTGTTTCACTGCTAAGATCGAGTCCTTTAGTCAATACATAATTTTCAACACTCCCACCGTTGAATCCCTGTAGTCCTGGATTTAAAAGTATTGGGTAGTATATCTGATGTTCTGTGACTATGAAGCCCATCGTAGCACCGCCTAAATAGTCCTGCCAAAAATTTGGCCCGATTGGATGTGATATGACAGAACCAGCGCCAATTTACCGTGCACCCAGCCCAATTTACGAGGTTACCCAAAATATAATATTTTCGTTGATCTGGCTCTATGAGTAATTGCACGTGAATTAGCCTGGAATTTCTAGCCTACTTAGAAGGGAAACGGTGCAGAAATGAGCAAGGTATGGCTAATTCTTTGGAGGAGATTAAAACCTCTAAATTTGGAAAATTCTGATCCGCGCCTTCGGTACTGTCGTTGGCTGTAACATAAATGAACCTCACGGTAATTCCAGCCATGCAAGGTGAGCATTTATTATGAGAAAGACGAGCAGAAGATTTGAAGGATAAAAAAAAGTTCTGCCAATTTCGGCGAACATCACCCGAGTCGAACGGGGCCCGGGGGGCCTACTGCATACACATGAATATATTGGCCAAGGACTAAGGAAGGCAAGGTGCACACCGTATGCCATCGAGTGTTCTCCTACCTACTTCAAAAATGAATACATGACTGCAAGCAAATTAAAATGAATGTTTGGTTGAAAAGCAAACTTACACCAACTGGTCGAAAACAGTGTATTTTTTTATTGTCTGCATCACTGCAATTGCTTCTAGCACCCAAGATGAAGGGATCTGTGTGTTCAGAATAATAAATATGCCGCTATTTGAGCCTTGAACCAACATCTCGGCCGTCGGTATGCCGAACCATCAAAACTCGGCATCGTCATTCTCAAGATCTGGCAACAAAATCTGACCGCATAAACCTTGAGTTCGATGTTGTGCACGTCAATGCGCCGTAAAATCGACGGAAGACGCGTCACAGATAGCTGTTCACCACCCGGGAAATTTTGTGATTTGTCATAAGCCGGCTCGGTCACACTATGTAGTCAACAGACTGGTACGAGCGTTATATTGTTGTACCGTCTGTCTACGAGAGACCAACTTCTGCTTGCAAACAA